AGGGCTCTGTTCTTGGTCCCCTCCTCTTCTCCCTGTACACAAACTCGCTCGGATCAGTCATTAGCCTGCATGGTTTTTCATACCACTGCTACGCTGACGACACCCAATTAATTTTGTCCTTTCCCCGCTCAGAGACCCAGGTCGTCGCACGCATCTCTGCTTGTCTAGCTGACATCTCTCAGTGGATGTTTGCTCATCACCTCAAGCTCAACCTTGACAAGACTGAGCTGCTCTTCCTTCCGGGAAAAGATTGTCCCACTCTTGACCTAACAATCAACATCGGCACCTCAGTTGTTTCCCCGACTCAGACTGCAAGGAATCTGGGTGTGACCCTAGATAACAACCTGTCCTTCACTGCAAACATCGCTGCTACAACCCGTTGCTGCAGATACACGCTTTACAACATCAGGAAGATACGTCCCCAGCTGACACAGAAAGCGACGCAGGTTCTGGTCCAGGCTCTCGTCATCTCACGCCTAGACTACTGCAACTCCCTCCTGGCTGGTCTACCTGGATGTGCCATCCGACTTCTGCAGCTCACCCAGATTGCAGCGGCTCGTCTGGTCTTCAACCTTCCTACATTTTCCCACACCACTCCGCTCCTCCGCTCCCTTCACTGGCTTCCGGTAACTGCTAGAATCCACTTCAAGACCCTGGTACTTGCTTACCATGCTGCGAATGGATCTGGCCCTTCGTACATCCAGGACATGGTTAAACCGTACACCCCAGCGCGTGCACTACGCTCTGCATCAGCCAAACGACTCGCTGCACCCTCGCTGCGAGGGGGACCCAAGTTCCCATCAGCAAAAACACGTGGGTTTGCTATCCTGGCTCCAAGATGGTGGAATGAGCTCCCCATTGACATCAGGACAGCAGATAGCTTGCACATCTTCCGGCGCAAACTGAAAACTCATCTCTTTCGACTCCACTTCGAGCGATAGATTTATTAACAAAGCACTTATATACTAATAAAGGACTGGCTTATCTAAAGCCAGTTGAGTAGCACTTGAAATGTTTGGCTCTATGAAACCTGATGTACTTATATGATCCTGTTTTCTTCAAGGTTGTGTCTTCCTGGTCGAATGTACTTATTGTAAGTCGCTTTGGATAAAAGCGTCAGCTAAATGCAATGTAATGTACATTTAAGACTGTGTGATGTAAATGCATATAGGATCGTATCATTCGATTCTGTTGCAATACAAGTAGATCAAACTAGAAATACTCTGTTTTAAATAAAAGTCATGCATTCAAAACTTAATTAAAGTACACAAGTATGCACAATGGACCATTTCAGAGTAACACATTACATAGGTCCTTCTAGGATTATTATATTATAATACAGCTTTATTTGTGGAGCACTAGGTGCAGCTCAAAGTGCTTTAACAGCAGGCCACACAACACAAATCAGAGAAGAAGACATTTATTTCCATTAAAACCTTTTGCACACATGCAGCATAAAGTTTAACAATCCAAAAAAACGGTATCAATATACAAATTACAATACAATAAATAATGATCCAAAAGTGATACATTATAACAAGTGATGGATTAATGTGTTAGCTTGAGGGTAGTTGCCTTAATTCACACTAAAGATTGCTTAATATTTAAAGTGCAAATAGGGTATTATTTCTCAAATACAGGTATTATATGATCAGTTAGACATTCCCTGATACAACAAACAAAAGTGTTGCCTCTGCAGCAGCAGCAGCACATGTAGCACAGTGTAACACTCATAGGTCAGGTATTGTTGTTCCTCAATTAGTCATCGTTCTTTGACATTTTTCAACATATAATTATGTGAGCAAACCAGGCACTCTTTGAGATTCATTGTTTGGTTTTACCCCTTCCAGTCTACCTTCACAACACAGCAGACAGAGGGCACTGGGCTCTTATTTCAAATAGTGACTTCTTTCTTATTTATGAAGTCAATCAACCAAAGTCAAAATGAACTAGAGGTTGAACAAATAAGTATTTTCTCTACTGTAACATGGATTACTACTTTGCCTGGACATTTAAATCCCTTATATCAATAAATAATGTAAGATGACATGTTCTTTAAACAAGTCATTGGGGTATTCCTCAATTAAACTACATGTGTTAAGCGGTCGGATTAAATGAATAAAAAGGAACTATGGAAGATATCATCATACAATACTGATTATTTAGAAAACTCTATGCTACGCTATATTCTTCCCAGCTTCTATTTTGATATAACAGGGTTTATTTCAGGGCATCTTTATTTAATTCAAACGTTTTTTATTTTGGAAATGGTCATTTTATTTCATAATGACTCACAAAGTCATGGGCTGTCAATAAGACTAATAGAGTCATTTATGTGTTTGCCACAACCTGGTGGCTTTGACATTTTTATTTGATTATACAACAATTGCATGATTATGTTACACATTTTGTATGTCATTTTTCATGTCAATATTTGTTCCATAATGCCTGATTTGTTTATTTATTTATTAAATAATTATCATAAGAGTTATCTTAATCACTAATGCGTTCCTTGTTATGTATGCATTTATTTCTCCTTTTTTTCCTGCTGGGTCTGATATTTCTGTATTATTTTTCATTTTGATGTTTTGAGTGAGAGGATTTGATTAAGCCCCACTGGCTTCTCAACTGGAGATGGGATTTCCTATATATTATATTTATATTATATTATTATAATATTTTTATTTTTATTATCTTGGATTGATGGATTTCGTTGTTTTTATGTGATGATGTGGAATGTGTTTAATTACATGTGTAAAAAAAGTTTCCCATTGCAAACCCTTAGAGGCAACCAAAGATTAAAAGATTGGTATTGTATTTTTTCTTATTGTTGAAATACTGACACATCCCAAACTTCAAAGTCTGTATGCCTGATATCTCAAACAAAAACATGTTCTTATGCTTCAATGCTTCAAATGAGACCGTGTGGCCCAATAATATATTATTACACATGGTCTCATTTTGAAATGCATGCTGGAACACCAGAGCCAACAAGAAGAGGTGCCCAAACACATATCCCACCATGGCACTGCTTCAAAAGTCACAAAGCTTACAAAGTTTTTGTGTACGTATTTGGATAACGTCCAAAATAATACTTTTGCTTTCTAATGATAAAAATGAAGTGTACTCTTCACTAATGATATCTTTGACATTTCATTAGGACCTATACAAAGTCTGGTAAAAACACATTTCATTCACATTTCTACATAAATGTTTTTCTCACAGATGGCAAATGGTTTGAATACTTTATGTCTTTATTCAGTTAATTTAATAACAAATCATAACGGCCAGGAACTTTGAACACCAAGGGTTAAACATGTTTGTATTTTTAAAATTGTTGTGAAAATATGTAACAAAATGTTATAACAGCAGAGTTTCATTTACAGTAATGTATGATCTCAGGAGTACAGGCGGACACAATACAAGAAGTTTTTATTCAAAGACCTGAATAATTACCTGCAGCTTAGCTAGCTTGAATTTGCTCATTTTAAGGTTCTTATTTGCCAGCCAGCATACACTATCATCTTATAAAGTTGAAATGGAGAGGGGTGGAGGAAATCATAAAAGAGCTGTTTCTGTTCCTTTTTTCGATTGGCCGAGCTGTCAAACAAACACCACAGCCAGCACACATTGTGTGTACGTAGCTGTTCAGTTGGCACATTGGCTGTTTGGGGTAAATAAATGTAGTCTGCAAATACACTGGATTGGTAGTTTGTGTGCAACCTGAACACATATTTTAAAGGAATTGGGCTGGCAAGACACCGGGTGTGTGCTCCATTTAGACATGAAGCTGGAATAGCAGCAAGTGAACCCACTTAAATGGAGCGCAGGTGCATACTGCATAAGGCAGCTGCAGGTATAACGTTGAACATCTGTTAATCAAATGGCCACAGGTAATAGAGATGCTGGTAAATCTTCATTTAATGCAGCCTTTCAGTGTTGACAGAGGCAACACGGCATATTTTCCATTTGGATTCAGTTACCGAGCTTGTGAATTATGTGTTTGTTTGTCTGCAGTGTTCTGTGAAGCTGTTGGTACATGAGACATTTTTGTTTACTTGTCGCTCACAAGCTGCATGTGCTGTTAGTTTTGCTGAAATGAAATTGAGTACAACACAGATGTCAAACAGCCGATGGCGCTGTGCTGCCTGCGCAGGTTAGAAGAAGAAGAAGAAGACATAGGCCTACTTTATTAATCCCTTACAGGAAAATGTATTTCGTTATGGAACGAAGTACATTTTGAAATAGTGTCATTGGCATGGATGTTATTGCATAACTGACATTACATAGTGCAACCCTGTGTTGTAAGATGACACATATTTGAAATCTCCAACTTGATACCATCAAATAAAAACTTGTGTTTTAATTTTTTTGGAAAATATTTAGAGAAATGTTGGACAGGTTATTGTTGGAAAGTTTCATTTCTATCACAATGTAACATATGTATTAGATACAATTGAGGTATTATAATATGCAGCCATTGTCAGCATTGTCACTGTGGAGTGAGAGAGAGCGAGAGTGTGTGTTTGTGTGTGTGTGTGAAAAAGACAGAGATAAGGTGCACACTTGTAGCCTACATATCTTTGTGAGAACGTTTTAGACCATCTGACATATGCACTACACGAAGAAATTAATGATATCATACTTTAATTTGATTATAATCAAATCACATTAATATACAATTATAATGGTTCAAATTAGAGTGAGGGGGCGGCTTGAGAAGAATTAGAGTGTATGTGTGTTTGAGAACGACAGAAGACAGGGATATATTGATCGATATACAGAGAGAGAGAGAGAGAGAGAGAGAGAGAGAGAGAGAGAGAGAGAGAGGAGGAGAGAGGAGATGAGAGAGAGAGAGAGAGAGAGAGAGAGAGAGAAGAGAAGGAGAGGAGAGGAGAGGAGAGAGAGAGAGAGAGAGAGAGAGGAGAGGAGAGAGAGAGAGAGAGAGAGAGAGAGAGAGAGAGAATGTGTGCGTGAGGTGGATTCCCATCACAAACCAAGATGGCGGCGGAGCGGACAGCCGGCTCGCGCACTGACTGACTGACTGACAGACAGACCAGAAGCCTCGCGCGGTCGGACAGCTAACGGTTAATCTCTGAGACAGAAACATTGACTATAAACATCACCCGTACAGGTCACGTCATCTTTTTTCGGTACCGACGGTGCAGTGATGAAACAGCACCGGTAGACGACACCGGGGGAAGTTGTGTGTGTGTGTGTGAGAGGACTAAATTGCCGTCCATAAGAAGCGGGGTAAGTAACGTAGAGATGATGAACCGTTAGTGTGTGGCCGGGGAGGGATTTACCAACAGCTGCTAGTTACTACTAGCTAGAAATCCCTCATGCTAGCTGTGCCAGCTTATGTTGCGTATTTGTTTACATTGGTTTCATGTTTTTTCTGTCACTTTTTTACAATTCTGCACTCATTGCGTTTGACCCCATGCTTGTTACTCCGGTGATTCATTCACGAAGTAGTGTATGCCACAGGTTGTTTGCAAATAAAATAAAATTGCTCCATATTCACCTGTGCTGCGTGTCGTCACCTATGGTCGTCACACCAAATTAAACGTGCGTTCATCTTGTGATTCATGTATGTTTTACCCGGTAGCGTGTGGGGTCATTAAGTACTAAATATAACCCACAACTCCAGCTACCCTCTGCGTACGTACACCCTGCTTGGCTGAGGATATTTTTGGTCGTGCAGTTTGCAATTCTGTCTGGGAAAATGCATCGCTCGGGCTTTACCTTGCAATTAGGCATTGGCACACAATGTGCAAGTATATTTTATGTCATGATTTGTGAAGGATATAAAGTCAGTTTTAAGTATTCTGATAACACAAATCAGATTTGCATCAAGGAGCTGTACATGATAGGACACTCTATGTCCTTAAACCTTAGATTCAGATGAGGAAGATCTTCCCTCTTATAACCTTGTTAACTGGAAAAAATGGAAGCAACCTCTGAAAGAGCAACAGAGGAGGGATCCCTCTCCCCGGACAGACATGCAATACATCATAATAACCTAAACCAACATAATAACATTGTAGTGTAGGAGAATTAGGATGTGAACAAAATGATGGGTTAATTGTAAATATAAACGAAGAAGGTCGTACTATAAAGCTGTCAGTTGTTTCATAAGGTATTTGTGTCAATCATTACTTGTTTCATCATTTATAAAGCAAAAGGCAGAGAAATCATCACTAGGCTAAAGAGCGGTGGGTGTGTGCTTATGCAGCTTTGCAAATATGTGTACGTTTGGGGAATGTGTTCACTTGTGTTTTGGTGCATCAGTGCTAATATGACTGTCCAACAAATCTGAGCAAACTAAGCTGCAGAAAGGGAAATCTGCTTGGGGTTAGTTCACTGTTTTCTGATTAGACGGAATAATTTGGTCAGGATCCACATTCTGGAAAAATTCCCCTTGCATCGTTTAGTGGCGTCGCACTGGACAGTCAAGTCTGTTCGAATCCTAAATGTGACAGAAATACTCTCAAGCCTGTCATTTGCAAACCTCAGCGTCACATACCAGAAAGGTAACCTACACTGTAATCCTGTAAAACCCTCAGCCCTTTTTTTGTGGGCTTTTTACTTTCAAGAGTATCTTCACATTTCACGAATTTCTTATGGTGAGATTTTGTTGGTGTGCACATGATAGACAGGATGTTTGTGTTCTGTCTGTTCTCGTTTCGGAGGGCAAATGAGGCGCCTTATTGGAATGCCAGGGAGGAAAAAGAGTCATCATACTTGAAATGAAGTATTGCACCATGAGAGCCAATTGGCATGGATTGCGTAGGCTGTTTGACTGGGCTGTGTGGAGTCTCGTGCAGGTCCATCCCAGAAGAGGATTTACGGCTGCGAGTAAAAAGATGACAGTTAGACGGTGTCTGCTGTGCTGATTGATGAGTTCAGGTACGCTCAGTAACCTGGTTCCTCTGATCCTGACCCCAGCCTCAGGGTTAATGCCTGCTCTCGTCCTATAACAAACACCAAATGTCCCCTCCTCCGCCGTGATGGTACTAAAACCTAAAGGCACACAGGGTGAGTGTTATTTCCCTCTTGCATATTCATTCACACCAACAAAGAGGCACATTGGGTCTGATTCAATTGAGTGGAACACATATCATCTGTGATTGTACTGCATGGTTAGGCATGGCTCGACTTGACTTGGTTTTCCATTTATTTTAGTAACATGTTGGTCTAGGTCCTTAGCAAGCTAAGCTGATGATGCAGACCAATGTACTTTTTTAAATAGCAAACTTCCATCAATTGCGTTCACGTTTTGTTAAATACACATAACCATCCGCAGTTGAATTTTAAATGTATTCTCACAACTGGAGATAGTAAAATAGTTAGTGACTGCACGGAAGAGCAACAGAGCAAGAAATGTTGCTGCCAAAAATGAGTGACAGTCCAGCTTTTGTCACTCTGGTCCATTTCCTGCCCCTCTCACTGTTAATATTGTTCTCTCGCTCTCTGATCCTTTCTTCATGATTGTTGGCAGATGCTACATAGCAGGCCTGGAAGAAATTCTTGCTCTTTTTTTTTGAGGAATGCATATCATGCATGCATTTTACTGAAACGTTTTCTCAACAGTGTTTAAATGTGGCCCATATAGTCCACTCCAAAGGGCACATCACTAGCAATGTGTTTTACATTGTATTTTTCCTTTGAGGAGATTAATAATGAATAAACATATAAACAGTTTTTTCTACAAGGATTTGTCAACACTGAAATATTTATACTGAGATTATCAAACCCACCACTCAAATCATGTAACAGGTTTACAGAGAAGATTGCTAAAATAACAAAATGTATATATTCAAATAAAAAGGTAGAGAAAAAAATACACAAAATCAAGAAATGTATCATGTTTTTTTGGTTTTGATGGACTCAATGTGAAGGAAGTTTAGTTAGAACAATGGATACAATATAGAAAGGGGTAGACATGATATTTGAGTATCAAGACTTGTTGGAAGCATGACTAATGTTTTAGTAATGTGAAAAGTCCTTGATAAAAGCAGAACATTGTGTGAAGGTCACCTCACAGCGTTGTCACCGTTTTTAGCCAAAAGGAGAGCTTGTACTTGGAAAGAAAGGCTGGTTCAGATTTGCATGCAGAGCAACTGAGATTCCAGGTTCCCGGGGGAATACCATCCACAAACACTAATTAGCTGCACAGCATTGTCTGCAGGGAGAAAGGTAGGATGTATCCTCAGCTGATGGGTGGCATCTGTTTTAGGCAAGATGAATTTGGGAGTTGATCTCAACACTAAAGTGAAATTCCTAGCTCCTAGCAAAGTCATCTTTTGTGTGTGTGTGTGTGGTGTGTGTGTGTGTGTGTGTGTGTGTGTGTGTGTGTGTGTGTGTGTGTGTGTGTGTGTGTGTGTGTGTGGTGTGTGTGTGTGGTGTGTGTGGTGTGTGTGTGTGTGTGGTGTGTGTGTGTGTGTGTGTGTGTGTGATGTGTGTGTGTGTGTGTGTGTGTGTGTGTGTGTGTGGTGTGTGTGTGTGTGTGTGTGGTGTGTGTGTGTGTGTGTGTGTGTGTGTGTGTGTGTGTGTGTGTGTGTGTGTGTGTGTGTGTGTGTGTGTGTGTGTGTGTGTGTGTGTGTGTGTGTGTTGAACAGTTAGGTTTAAGTGACACATTTTAGAGGAAGGCAGATGCTACGACTGAAGGGGTTGATAGGGAAATTGGATGTATAACTCCACTGTCACAACTCTTTCAGAATAAGAAATTATGAAGCATTTAATGAGGATATACTATGCTAATGTTCTGGGGGTAGTGGGAGAACTTTGGGATTGTAGCCTTTGCAGTCTTTTACATGCCTACAAACCTATAGAACACTGAAGGAAAGGAAAACCCCCAAAAAGCATAAGAGGTCCTCCTTGAGCAAGGAAATTGGCAAAAAGAACAAGCTGTGTGTGTTGGGTTCACAGGAGTAAAACGTAATTCCCCTCCTCTTCCATTTCTTCTCCTCATTCAGACAGAAAAGGCGCCTATCTTCACAGACTAAAGACGCCACTTAACCCAAACTGCCAGACTCTCAAGTTTGCAAATACAAAATAAATCATAATGGAAAGCAAACGTGTGTGTTCATCCAAAACACCTTCTTTCTCGCTTAAAGGCAAAACACCAGTCTTAAACACATTTTTCTGACAACTAGGGAGTTAAAAGATCAGGAGCAGAGGCAGGTTGGACAGATCAGGTTTCACATGGCGTTAGTTCCCACAGGGCTCTGCGTTAGCGCTTCCCTTGCTTATACTGTACACAGAGTCAGGATGGGAACCTCTTGTATTGAGTTTGAGCCTGGGGATTGTGATCCCAGTATTTCCCGTGATATATTCTCTATACTGAAATATGACCTTGAAATGCATTTTCACCCTGCAGCTGTTTTTTTTCAAAATGACTTTCTATTCTTACATGGTGGTTGCAAGCGTCACTGAAAAATCCGGTATAATGAAAGATTAGCTGAAGGAGGCTCAGTAAATGGCTCTGATATTAAAGGAGCAGCAGGTAGAACATCCTGTACCAGGAAAAAAACAATTCTCCGGTACATCAGATCACTAAAATAATGGACCACACAACCACACTTGAATGCAGTAAGAATTGCCCAGTCTGATTTCAATGAATGCAAATGGAGATGGAAAAAAATAGATCCGGGGCATTGAAAATCCCAGGAGGTTGACTACTGTCTGGATCAGGACGGATGAACCAATACAGATGTGTGTAAAAAATCTGTCGATATATATAGTAAAGCGATTATTAAACCTAAAACATTGTTATCAGCTTAAAAATCCATGGAGATATACGAGTGTGCCAGCTTATTCATTCATAGCTTATAGTTTTTACTTTTCCCTAGATGTAATAAGTGAGTGATATTAATAGGATCAGTCAGTAGAAGTCTGTCACTGCTGCCTCTCATGCTGCTGCACTGCCACCCATCACGGTTTGTGCTTAATTTTCCATAACAAACACATAACGGTCCTCCACTCATACCGAGAGAGGGAGATTGCCCTGAACCTGAGGGGACTTTTAAAACATCTTTTGAAATTCAGGTCGAGACCCTCTACAAAGTTAATCGAGGCACTTGATATGCCAACCAATCTCTTTACACCTCACGGTACCATTAGCATTAGTCATATTAGGTATAGGTTAGTCCCAACAGGGCACAAATGACTAACCCTGACATTGTTATCTCCATATTCCTCCAATAGATCCTCTACTCTACATCATTTTTCAATCGACTTTTGATCTGTGA